TTTATTGGCAGTTTGGTGAAGATATATAAGAAATATACTGGTGGCAAGGTTCCGGAACTGCTTGGTTTCGACCCTCGCGATCGAGACATGATTACCGGTACTGTGGCTCCCATTCCGCAAAATGGACCTTCCTCAGGTTCGCGTGCTCCTCCCCTCGGCCGCCCAGAGAGTCCTGGACCGCAGACCAGGTCCGCGCAAAATCAATTCAACGTCCCGCAACCGCCATATTCTGCCAACCGGCTTCCCAGCCGCGATGGAGCAAGAGAACATAGGTTGCAGGCGTCCCGGGAACAGTTCTTACACACTCCTCCAGCGCAGGATGAAGGACAAAGACCACGCCCTGAGCTCCCCGCGTCTAAGACTTCTCAACAACAAGGGTTTCGAGGTGAGCTGTCTCCGAAGCCATCCGGAAACAATACCCTCAATAATTCCCACACCCCAACACCATTTCACGCGGGCCAGCCACCCCGGACCCGGCCTCCTGCTCTATCGCCAGCTCCCAATCCTTTATCAAGTTCGACCGGTAACCAGCCTAGAACGCAGTTTAACATCGAAAATGGCATTCGTCCGGCACGAAGCCCAGTTTCGAATGATAATGGTCGACCCGTTGAATCTAGCAAGATATCCACTTCGGAATCTGGTGCTAAAATTGATTCAGAAGTCCCTAAAAGTAGAGCAGTCCTGCTGGATTCTGTCCAGCCATCGGCTCCTACACCGTTGGGACGTCCACCGATGTCTACCATTGGTAGCTCTGAGGTTCAAAGTAGTAAAAGCGAGGCGGAGGATCGCTTTGTCACTCCTTTCACTTCAGAAGCTTCCCTAAATCTTGGTGCGCGTTCTCTTTCTAGAGGGAGTGAGAAATCCACAGGGGTGCCGGAATCCACCAGCGCCCAACGGCACGTTCCTATGTCGCTGCGACCATGTTCTGGAGACGTTAGTAGTAATACCAAATCTTATACTCGCTCGGTAAACGAACCTGAAAGCGTTGTTAGAGAACTGTCGCCTGACGCAGCCGAGAGCCCTGTCATGGGCGAAATATCCGATGTACCTAAAATACTTTCATCTTCAATCAAACCTACTACACTCACCGAATCACCTGAAACCGCTCCTACGGAAGGAGGAGAAGGAGAGACACATCGTCCAGGTCTCGGTCCAATGGTGAAAAAGAAGCCGGCGGAACTCGCGTCTACACTCCGAAAGGCAGCCACTACATATGGTGCTTTCAAACCTAGACCGGGGGGTGCGGCAGATAGATTGCTGGCCACCAAGGAGAAAAGTGGAGATGAGCCAGACGGTATTACCGGTGTGATTCCGGCGCCCCTATCTAGGACGATGACTGATGATTCCATTGAAACTACTGGGCCCCCTTCGATAGAGTCATCAACAAGGGACACACAACCGTTTGTTCCTCCAATGGAAGCGCCCAAGGTTCAAGAAGTGCCTAAAGTCCAGCTTGCTGAGCCCGCACCCCAACCTCAGCCATCAAAGGAAAGTCCAGTTCCTATCGATAGTACGGCAGGTACCACTCACTCGAAAGTGCCACCGTCACAAGAAGAACGCCGGCGCCAGCGCCGCGAGGACAATACGGCACAATATTGTACCGCTCTTGCCATAGACCCAAGCCTTTTGGAGGGTAGGGGAGGATACTTCGACGATATACTAAGTGACCTAGGATGGAATGGGAGACTGAGCGAGGACAAACGGATTGACGATCTCGAGGCAGATGTCCGGCGAGAGATAGGTCGGGTACAAGCAAGTAGCTGGCTGGGACATCTCGAGCAGCAGGAAGGCAAGGTGGACCAACTCTCAAAACTATTTGACAAAGCCATTGCCGAATGCGATGAACTGGATGGCCTACTGATGCTATACGCACATGAACTGAATGCAAGTACCTCCCACCCTAATGCGTCTGATACCAATTGTGCTAACGAATCCTAGACCCTTGTGGATGACGTCGCTTATATCGAAGCACAATCTCAAGGTTTGCAGGTCCAAACAGCGAATCAAAAACTTCTCCAAAATGAGCTACAAAACCTCCTCAAAACCATTTCCATTTCTTCCGAGGACCTTCGACCTCTCCGAGAAGCATCCTTAAGCAGCGCAGAAGGCATCGAGGAGACAGAATCTTCCCTTTCCCTCCTGTACGAAGCAATGGTGACGATTGATCCTGATATTAGGATAAATAAAAAGCGACTAGCGGATGCTGCTGGCGATCGTGGTGCAATTGGCGTCTATGCTGATACCGAAGTTGGCCAGATGCGCGCGGTGAAGGAGAAAACAGGTGAATACCGCGATGAAACCCAACTTTTCTTACAGCGTTTGAAGCAGTACATGGGGCTCTCCTTTAAAATTGCGGAGCAAAAAACGGTGGATTCGATCGCGAGCTCTAAGTCAGCAAAAGTTTTCTTGGGTGCTCATGATGCCGCCAGGCAAGACCTCTGGATGTACAATGCCTTAATGCTTTTCGCTCGGGAGGTTAGCACAGCAGACTGGACTTCCATTACTACGCAATATGGGCAGCAGATGAAGAAACCATATCAGAATGAGTTCAGGGATAATACTATGGCCTGGAAGCGTGAAGCGCGGAAGCCTACTGGCGATGAACAAGAGCTGCTATTCACGTATCAAGACAAGGAACGGGATGGGGAGGGTATCACCACTGCCGCCCGGAAGTTGACAGTGAGGCGAGGCAAAACAGTCCGCGTCGCTGGGACCTCGCGAATGCCAGTAGTGGATAAAGCTGGCGGGAAAATAGAGCCCTACGAAGTTTTCGGCGGTTCGTTAGAAGACACAACGAAGCTAATTGCTGAAGAACAAAACTTTATCGTGAAATTTTTCCATCTGACCTCACTCTCGAACGTCGAGTTCCAGGATTTAATTTCAGCTGCTCGACCAGAGGATCGACGACTACCCAATTTGAGTGGCAATGAGTCTTACGACCCAGATCGCGAAATGGCCAAGAAGGTTGAGCGGATTATGGAAGCAATATTCTCCCCCTGGATCTCTGATATGCAGAATCTAGCGGACTGGGCCATTAGAGAAGATTCATTGTAAGTTTGTGCCACCAAAACTTCAAACCTATCGCTGAGCTAACAAGACAAACAGGCAAGGAGTTGGCATCTTATTTGCTTTGGAGAGAAAGAGGTCAGTTTTTGATGAAACAAGCCAGGAATTCATTGCTCGCAGTCTTCACAAAATTCATTCTCGCTTCATGGGACTTTTCAACCGGTTCGTCGACGAACAAATCCGTGCCATCGAAGAAACGAAAGTCAAGGTCAACAAGCGTAAAGGAGTTATTTCATTCATGAGAATTTTCCCTAATTTCTCTGCATCGATAGAAAATATGATTTCATTGCCATCGCAAGAAACCTTTGACATCCGTTTTTGCGTGAATGATGCCTATGAGAAAATCAACCGCGCCATGTGGGACAGTCTGAAGTTTATCGCCAAGGAAGCACCTGGCCAGCAATCTGTTGCGTCCGGAGGTGGTCAGGACCCAGAAGACAAAGAGGCACTGAATTATCATATCCTCTTGATTGAGAATATGAATCATTACATTGAAGAAGTTGACCCCCGCGATAACATCATTTTAACCGAATGGAAAGATCGGGCTGCGCACGATTTACGCGAACACTTGCGGTTGTATATAGATGCTGTGATCCGCCGGCCTCTTGGTAAACTGCTTGACTTTATCGAGTCTACGGAGTCCCTCCTCCAGACAGCCGCGACGCCAACCGATATCGCCCTCCGTACCAGCCATTCACGCGTCGTTGCGAAGAAACTTCTCACCTCGTACGATACGAAAGAGCTGCGACGGGGCATTGATGCTCTGAAGAAGCGTATTGAGAAGCATTTTGGAGATGCCGACGATCCAGGTGTTTCGCGCAGTTTGGTGGTGAAGGTGTTGAGAGAATGCGAGACGCAGTATTCAAACATACATGACCGTGTGAGACATATAATTGACTTGGTTTACGAGGGACAGATGGAATTGGAGTGGCGGAAGGAGGAGGCTGTAGCCATGTTCAAGCGATGATTGAGGGGAAAAAAAGTTTGTGTCTTGTTTCTTCGATCATCGCGTTCGATATTTTCTCTGACTTATTGATTTTTGGAAATGATATTATTGGCGTTGAGGGGTCGAATCCGATGCACGTAATTACGTTCAACTTACATGCCTCCTTTCGTCTCTTATTTGGTTCTTCTATCGCGATTTCATCTTACTAGTTTTGTTTTACATACATTTGCTTTTCTTTCTCATATATGCCACCCACCTCTTTGGCTATTACTTTTGATCTTCCATGCTCCCTTTCTACCTATCCCTTTTTCATAGCCTTATTTATATCAATCACTCGTTTACGCGTTCATTGTTTTACCTCCAGCGGCCCCCATTATTTTTCCCTTCTCCTTTCATCCAAGCAGATAATTAACCGCTGTAAATTAAGACAATTATATACTTCTTCACACTTTAAGGGTCGATCTTCAGTAGACGAAATTGGCGGCAGGAAGCATATATTCCAGGAGAAAAGGTATGAAGGGAGACGCCATGGCACGAGGAATTAGAAATGTATCTCTTCGCAAAGATGTTTCAAGAAATTTTTCGTTAGGTTTTATGGTGGGATAGTTATAGTTTATAGCTATGTCTGTACATGATCTTTTCACCACTTTAATTTTAATTTTAATTTTTATTGTGTAGAACGCTTGACCTCGAATATCGCGGCCACCCACCCACGAGCCCTGTCAGGGGGGAACCTTGCCTAGGATCAGCGGTTAGCGAGATGTTGCCCATAACTTTAGGCCATAGCATAGTAGAGATCGGATAACTAAGAGGTCGCTGAACCCAAAAAAAACCCTGTGCCTGGCTGTTCCCGGTTCGGCTCCGCAAATACCGCGAAGTCAAATAGTTAGTTATACTTATTCAAAGCCTGTTCCAAGGATCGCGATCGAGCGGAGTTTCAGGGGACCGAGGAGGTATGTATTCGAACCCTCACTCATCTATTGAATAACATGTATCAGTCAAACATCCCTTATGTTTATTAATAGTAACCATCTCGAGTTCTATTAACTACTATTTCTACTATGCAAAGGTATATATATATATATACATATAACTATATATAAATAAGGGTTGTGTAACTCCACTCCTGTTCTTAAATATTCATCCCCAGATCCTGCTGCGACCCATCCCGCCACCACCCATCTCATCCCATCCACTGTCTTTATAGCGCAGTGCCCCTCCACTAACTAACTAGTCAGTCAGTCCGCTGGCCAAAAACGGGGGAGAGGACAAAAGAAAAACAAAAGAAGAAGAAAAAAAGAAAGGAGAAGCCTGAGCGTGACAACGACAGTTGCGGCTCCAGCACTCAATAAAACTAACTAGCCCACCGCACCGCGGCTGAAATGCCCTGCAGGAACAGCCATTAACTAACGGACATTTGTTTCTCCCCCTCTCCCCGTGTCGTGTGGCCTTGAATCATTATTCTTGTTGCCAACAGCGGCACACCACACCAAGCACAACAAACAGGATTTGGCCCCGTCATCTCGAGGCCTGGCTGCTAACTATCGCCACAGTCAGTGATTTAGTTACTCTCCTCGTTTAGGGAAATATTTTGTCCGTGCGTGCCTCAGGGGATTTGGTCCAAGGAAGACCAGAGACTGCCCTTCCCTACCGCCGTTCCACCGCGATATTTTCATCCGCTCCCCGTCTCTTTGGTATGCATTGTCATCCCAAACATTGTTATCCTCCATTTATTCCATTGTTTCTGAGATGCGTTTGTTATTCTTCAGTCGGTTACGGAGGGAATACTACAATTGATGCGCTCACTGACCAAGTTCCGCTATTTACCCGACCAATTCGCAGAGCTGGTCACGCAAGCAAATCCGATTCTGAATGTAATCCTGTCGCAGACCAGCAAGAGCTCTCCCTCCCGTTCTCTCTTAATATTCTAGCCCGTCATTTGCCTATATTATTTTTATCCTTTTTCCCTTCACCGGTCTTTTAATTTTTAATCCCCCGCCAAGCTGCGATTCCGACTCTCTTACTTCCTTGACAAACAACATGCCCTGGCGACCTCTCCCTCGAATTGCATTCGCTGTCGCTATCTATCCCTTCAAGCCTTCGTCTCCCGCAGACCTCCCCCTAGAACTTGGCGATGAGCTTTACATAATTGAACAAGGAGGGACAACTGGATCCTGGTATCGGGGTTATCTTGTTGCGCCGCCTTCACTACTGGCAGGTTTAACCAGCGTGAAGGGACGCACGCTCGAGGCAAGGGTCTTTTCAGGAATCTTTCCTAAGAACTGTGTGGAAGTGCGAGAGGTCTTGGGTGATGCAGATGGCTCAAAAGACGGCAGATTGAGCACTCAGATCATCACAGGGAAATATGCAGGCTCGAGAACCAGCACCGCATCCCCTGATAGCCTTTCTGTCACAGATGGCAGGACACTTTCCACTGGAGTGGGCGACCTTAAGGCGTCACGGAAAATGTCCCAAATTACAATTATAAAACTAGAAGAGGATGTAGGTATACGACGATCCGCGTCTCCCTCTTTGCCATTGACACCTATATCCCTAGGCCCCCGCGACCCTAACACTATAAAACCGCCTGCACCCGTCCCAATGTTGAAAATCGGCGACGAGACGCCCACTTCTGCAGCAGAGCCTCTTGTGGATGAAATCGCATCATGTTTGCGGGAATGGCATTCCACAAATATACACCAACTCCTCTTGGCCCGACAATACACAACCCTAGAGAACATGTCGAATATCGTTTTGGAACTAGACCTTGCACGACGACAGTTGCTTCACAATGTCCTGACAGCCCAAGAGCGCGCGGCCTTGCGAGAAGAGACAGTATGGAATCTCGTTCGAGGAAATAAAATGCTAAGCGGAGAAGTGGTTGTTCGTGACCCAAATCAACGAGGGCGCTTGCTTACCGGAGACGATTCGGCCATGGAACTGACCAAGCTTCAATCCGAAATGAGCATGCTTGACAGTGGACTTACTCCTCAACTAGATAACGTTTCGCTCCATCATCTGCTTTTTGAAGTGAATGCAGTTTCTGGGACTGATGCTGGCTCAATAACTCTTGCCGTCAGTCTGTGGTTGAAACAAGCGAACGGAGACATACGTCAACTTTCAGAGACCTACTCTTTAGATCTGCCGACCGCCGAAACCTTCGCCACCCTGGTTAACAACACCAAGCTGAAGACCCTCTTTACGGACTTAAGTGCCGCTGATATTGGAGAAGGATCTAACTCTGATTCAAAGCTGTACCTTGTTATCAAGGCGTTGGGATCCGAATCACCTAGGGTTAATGCGCCGCCAAAATCTCGGTCATCAAGTTCCCGAGATGGCTCGTTATCGAATAGAGTCGCTTCAGGTATCAATAGCGCAGGGAAAGGTAGCTTGAAGACCAGACGGAGTATGATGTGGGGCCCTAAATCTAGAGGGCCAGGCTCTGAAGTTGGAAAGGAGCTATCAAGACATCCACCACAGTCGAGCGACTCTGTTACAGCCAAGCCTAGCAAAGCTGATACATCTGGGAAGGAGGCTGCAGTCGCCAGAGTAGTTGGGCTTGGGGCTTTGGATATTGGCGCTATACTCAAGCAATGCAAAGAGGTCGAGCAGGTCGTCAATATTTGGTCTCCTCGTCGTAAAACCGATGAAGAGGATGACTACTCAGAGGGTTTCGATGAGATCGTACGGTCCCTCCTATATAGCGCAACAAAACAGTATGTGAGATCCTTTCGCGCGGGAAGGGTGCACGTACAGCTCCACCCATTCACCAGCGAAGATGCGGAGACGCTTGTACGGAACAACCCTACTTCCCTCCATAACGTCACACAGACGAAACGAATAGGATTTCCCGGAGCGCCAACTAAACCAAGATCCGATATCTACGTCACTTTAAATCGAGCAATCATCTCGCAAGATGCCTTGCTTTCGCATCCAATCAACTGTCAGGTTCCGGTTCCGCAGATCACAGGTTTACGGAACCTCCAGTTGACCCTTGAAGTCCGCAACACTGCAGGAGCACGAATTGAACATTGTATCTACCCTTCCTCCAACGCACTAGGCCAAACTGCCTGGCGAACCACTGTTGCTGAGAGAGGCGCAGCTTGGAACCAAACGATTCGATTGAACATTCCTGCCGATCAAGTCCCCGGTGCCCATCTTATTATGAGCGTAGCCGACGCTCCCGAATTCCCGTTTGCTCTGAGCTGGATGCCACTGTGGGACCAACAGGCGTTCATTCGTGACGGCCGTCACTCTCTCTTGTTGCATGCTTACGACAAGTCTACTTCAAGCATTGAAAATGGGCGCGGCGCCTATCTCTCCCTTCCTTGGAGCGCACTTGGAAAGAACGAATCTACTAAAGACGAAGCTGTTACTGGTCCTTTAGCAACACTGTCCCTAGAAACAGATCTTTGCAGTACAGAGTACTCACAAGATCACGTAATTCTGGGCCTCATAAGCTGGCGGGAAAAGTCAGCAACAGAAGTTCTGGAGCTTTTAAAAAGGATTGTTTTCGTTCCGGAAATTGAAATAGTGAAACAGCTTCGGGATGTGTTCGATGCGCTCTTTGGGATCATTGTGGAGAACGCTGGGAATGAAGAGTATGAAGATCTAGTATTCAATGACTTGGTCACTGTCCTTGGCATTGTGCATGACCGTCGATTTAATCTTGGGCCTTTGGTCGACCATTACGCGGAAAATCAGTTTAATTTCCCCTTTGCTACGCCATGTCTGATTCGAAGCTATTGTCGCCTCCTTCAAGCGACGCCGGACTCACAGCAATCTCGGAGCCTTCGTGCTGCCTTCAAGGTTGGCCGACATCTTCTAAAATTCATAATTAATGCCCGGGAACAACAGAAAGCAAAGGAGGAAGGTATCGGCATCACAAAGGTTCAGTCGACCTTCAACCGAGATTTACATTTCATCTTCAAGTCTGTGGAAGCTCTGATGCAAAATCCTGCTCCGATACTTGTTGGCAGCAAGACTTTGGTTGTACAGCATTTCCATACATGGCTACCCGAACTTTCAAGTGCACTGACAAAGGAAGAGATCATTAATATTGCATTGAGCTTCATGGATTCCTGCAAGGATGTCAAGAGCATGCTTATCCTTTATAAATTGGTGTTGATCTTGAACTATATCCGCCTTCCCCTGTTCGAAAGCCCAAAAGACAGAGAGATGCTATTTTCTTCCTGTGTAGATTGGCTCGCCCCATACTGGGGACAGACGGATGATGCCAATGACCAGTATCGAGATCAGGTTCGACTCTGTTCGTCAATTGTAGCAGAGCAGCTCAAGTATCCATCCCCCGAAATGTATGTGTACATGCCCAAGGCTGTAGCATCATACTGCGTTCTGGTTGCCGATGGTGTCGAGGAAACAGATTGGCTATCGATGCTCTTCAGCAAGTCTTTCCCTTTCCAGCTCAAGCAGTCCAAAACAAAGCAAAAATTCGAGGAGAGTCTTGTCGAACTTGCAGCCGTCATTGCATCGCTCGCGACAATACCCAACCCGACGCCATTGTCATTCAAGGATGATGATCTAGCCTTGTTCTTGTCACAGGCTCTCGAGACCCATAAATCCGTCCTTAGCTGCGACGCTTACCCTCCTACTTGGCTGAGTCTGCATATATATCACCATCGAGCGATCATGAAGAGTTTAGAATATCTGTCAACGATGCTGATTAGCTCTTTTCTTCCCCCACCTGATGATGCCGATAATTTTGACATGGAGCTATGGAAATTATTTTTCGAGACACTGCTGAAGCTCGTTTCAAGTGATGCTCTCACCCTCGAGACCTTCCCCGAACAGAAGCGCCGAGCTGTATGGAAGATTGCTGGAGATGTGCGTGAGCATGGTGCTGATTTATTACGGAGAGCCTGGGAAGCAATTGGTTGGGAGTCTAGTTCAGAAGAACAAGAGCGCTATGGCCTGAAGAAGCTGGGCGGATACCAAGTTCAATACGTCCCTAGCCTTGTTTGTCCCATCATCGAACTCTGCCTCAGCGTCCATGAAGGCCTTCGACATGTCGCCGTGGGGATCCTGCAGACAATGATCGTTTCCGAGTGGCAACTCAATGAGGACCTTTCATTCGTGGAGGCTGAAATAATCTCCAGTCTAGACTTGCTGTTCAAAACAAAGAATGCCAATGAGAGTGGGACTCAAAAGACGTTTATCAACGAGTTGCTAGACTTATTTGAAATAGTCTCCTCAGATCCCGATGCGGACCTGCTTGTGGCGTTGAAGGAACTTGTTGCAACGGTTGACGAGTTACTGGATCTTTTGGTCGCGTCTCAAAATGGCAATATTACGGAGAGCCTTAATACCTTGAAGCTTATGGAGTTTATGAAAGACATGGACAAAGAAGATATATTTATTCGATACGTGCATGAGCTTGCTCGTGGGCAGATTGCGGCGCGTAATTATACCGAAGCCGGCCTTGCGCTTCAGTTCCACGCCGATCTTTATGACTGGGACATCTCCAAACCCGTCCCTGCGTTGACGAACCCTGTTTTCCCCGAACAGACATCATTTGAACGGAAAGAGGCATTGTACTTTGAAATCATTCAACATTTTGAGGATGGTAAAGCTTGGGCACATGCACTTTCCTGCTACCGGGAACTTGCACATTATTACGAGCACACAGTACTGGATTTCTCGAAACTTTCAAGAACTCAGGCATCCATGGCCAAGATTTACGACGCCATCGTGAAAGGTAACGACCCACCTCAAAGATATTTCCGTGTTACATTCAAAGGTCTTGGATTCCCCGCTACTCTAAGGGATAAGCAGTATATTTTCGAAGGATACCCTACAGATCGGATGGCGACGTTTACAGACCGCATGCAAAAACAATACCCAGCCGCCCAGATCGTGTCTTCAGATGTTATAGACGATCTCGAAGGGCAGTTCTTGCAGATTTCAGCTGTCAGTGTGCAAAAAGATATGAATCACGCTGTCTACCAGCGATCTAAGGTACCGTACTCAGTCCGAGAACATCTGTTGACTTCAGTGCCTTCCCAATTTTCGATTACCTCAAAACGACATACTAGCGGAGATGACGTGAAAGAACAGTGGGTCGTCAAAACTGTTTTCACAACTACAGAGCCTTTCCCGAATATTCTTCGGAGAAGTGAAATTATCTCGTCGGAGGAAATAGTCCTTACACCTCTTCAAACGGCAATTGAGCGCACCTGGCGCAAAACCCAAGAGCTCTTGTTGCTGGAAAGACGAGCCTCGTCTGGAGAGGACTTCAATTTAACAGGGTTAACGGAAGTGCTAAGCCGTCTTCTTGATCTTCAGTCAACTTCCTCGGGCTGTGTTGCCCTTTATCGACAATTTTTGGTAGATGAGAGCAAGATGGATATGAATTCAGTAGATTGCGAGACTGAGGAGCAGGCTCCACGCCCCGTCAATCCTCTGAACAATGCAATGGCTGTTGCTCTCATCGATCACGCCCTTGCAATTAAGCGCTGCTTGGCATTGTACAACCGTCCTGCTTATCAAGCTACCCAGTTGGAACTTAGTCGCCATTTCGAAATCGCATTTGCTCCAGAGGTTGCCTCCCTTAGCCCTGTCTTTAATACTCCTGCAGGCGAAGAACCACCTAGCCTTCTCAACGGTCGTTCTGACCCATTAATTGCCTCTCGACCTCAGCCCATAGCCCAAACCCGTCCCATTAGTCCAGAACAGGAACTCATCCGCGCCACGCGTCAGCTTGAAAATCCTTCGAAGACGAATAAATCCCATGAGAAAACCATCAGCACGCATCGGATCAGCCTCAATCCTTTTAAACGCTCCAACCATTCTGTCACCAACTCTAACTCCACCATCAATGCGTCTACCATCAACGATGTACGACAACAATCCGAATCCAAGCTGAACGGCACCTATACATCGCGTCCATCCACCGCAAGAACAGATGCCACGGATGCCGTATCCGTCACTCCCAGCCGTGCCGCTAGTCGTCGGTCGCGCAATAAAAACCGCGACTCTGGGTCAAAGCGACGTAGTTGGTTTGGTGGTGGTGGCGGTGGAATCGATACACAAAAGAATAGTTCATCCATCTCTGCGCCCGCCACTTCTACCGAGGACATCCGTACGACACAACAACGGATAACGGAACGTGCGCGATCATCTCGATCACAAGATGGGCGGAGTGGAAATATCGCCTCCCATCCCCCTAATGCGGAAAATAGCGGCAATGGTGGTGTGACTAACGGTATTAGCAGTGCTGCTGCAAAAGTGAGCCAGCTTACTCGAACGGTATCAGGCGCACGCCGTGGAACCAAGGGCAGTAGCAATAACAGTACCAATCCTACAAGTGCGAGTGCGGATTCCAATAACAATGGCCGCCCCGTGACTTCGGAACGGCTTGTTACAAAAGCAATAATGCCCACCCAGACAACCACAGTGACGACCGGCGAGAATGACAATAACAAGAATGCCGTCTCTAATTCTCACAGAGCGACTGTTAGCACGTCAGTCACGACAGGTCCCACTGCCGCGGCACCCGCACCTGATGGCAACGCCAGTGGAGTTCGAGATTCAATGATGAAACGGTTTAGCATGTTGAAGGTGGGGAAGAAGACCACCCGACATAATGTGCGCGATGGAGGTGGGGTCGGGGGAATGTTGCGAGAGGAGTGAATGGAATGAGAAGTCTCTTTTCTTCTATTATTTTTTTATTGGGTACATACGTATGACCATTCATGGGATGATTTTCTTGTTTGGTTTTTTTGTTCAGGGTTACTTACTTTCTTTGTTTACCTCTTTTTTCCCTTCTTTTTTCCTTTTCTCTTACATATATACTTATATTCCCCCTTTCTTTTTCATTTTTATGTTTTCATATATTTATTTTTATACCTATATTGTTGGATCCCCTAAGGCATCCACAAAGGGTCCGACCGCAGCAGCTGCCTCCCACATGGTCTAGAGGTGTTCACTGAATGCAATACACCTTAATATTAACCAACTACTTGTTATATTGCCAACAGATTATAACTCTTTACATGAAAAGTCTTTCACACTGATTAATCAATTTTAGAACTTCTTCTTAATCATTATCAAAAATCATTACTTTTCAAAAAGTGTCTAAAAATAGTAATTTTATGCTAATAAATGTATGTAGCTAAATAAATAAAATCACTTTCTCATTTTAATCAATCATAGTCTCATTCTAAGCTTTTATTTCTGGTTACCTTTCATATTTTTTTAATGATTAGTCCTGATAAGACTCACATTAAGAAAGATATAAATATCTTTTGTGTCGGTTAGCGGGGCGCCGAGCCTAGAAATCAAGCCTGTCATTGGTCCACACCGTAACTACACAATTACCGTTATAATAAGAGCGTTGCCGCTTCGGGGATAGCGCCTGGATCGCCGCTTTTGCAGCATCTCACACAACCCACCACCGCCGCAACAATCTATAAAAACCCCTCACCCATGGGGTGGAAAGGGAGGATGACTGGCTGGAATGTATCCCGAAGCCATCAGCTGGGCTTGGGTGCTCAGGGCTACATCCTCCCATTCACCCCTGACCCACTAAGGCTAACTTGCAGGCTCTCACTTTCATTCTCTGATCAATGGCAAAATTACTGCATTGCTTTTGCTGCGGGATGCGCCTCTGAGCCAGCCCGGGGGCTCTGTATCAAGAAGCGCAGGTGGTACATGTGATCCTTGGAAGTTGCAATGATTGAATGATATTTGGCATAGAGCACTGAGTTATCTGTCCCAGGTCCCAGTTTCAACAGGGATGGACATGTCAGCATTCTCAAGTGAGGTTTAAGGAACGGAGTCTGGGGGTAGTGGTGAAGTGAGCGCGTTGAGAGCCACTATAAGAAGGCTGACTGGTTCTACTCCAGAATTCTAGCACCTCACAATCTGATTTTCCCATTTCACACAAACTCCCCTGAGTCCCCTCATTGATTTCCATTCCTAATCTCCCTTCAGTTTTTAGATCATCTCCGCGTCCAAAATTCTACCCTCATGAAATATGCTATCTCCTCATGCGAACTTCAAACCATGGGCGCCCCTTCACCTCAAACTACTCTCATCTTACGTATCCCACCATTCATGCTCTCCAGCGGCCAGCTGTTCTCCTCCCTCTAAACCCCATCATGATTCTCCCCGCAGCACTCTACCACCCCCCAAGCATCACCTCTCTGCAAGACCACCGGCTGAAGTTTGCATGTCATTCAGCACCAACGCCAGGCCATGTACACCAACAGCATCCCAATTTCAGGAACGAGAGATATCGATACCGCCATCCAGTACGCCATCTTCAGAGAACCCCAAGCATGGGCCTTTATATCCGCATGATCCAGCACATCTTACTCCAAATTCACCTCAAATTGCCGCCTTCGACACCCAAGATCTCACTGCTCTTTCAGACAAGCTACCTCTGCTTGAGAGAGGAGCTGCAGGGCCAGGTCCATCCTCACCCAGTACAAACAGCTCGGATGGCAGCCTAGAGAAATTCTTCAGGCCCCTGGTTCTTCAGAACAACATTCTCATAGACCCGGCCATTCTTTCCAATGACAGGCCCCGACAGGCCAGCAGGTCTCTCTGATTTTTCTAGCAAGGAAACAGCTCTGCAACCCCGAAGGCAAACTGTCCATATTCTGAACCTCCTCCGTCTATGTTCTGCGGTGCACCCGACTATCATCAAGGTTCTCTGAAGTGGTTTGATGGCTGGAATGATGATGCTCAAATGGATAAAGACCCTCACATCCAGGCTTGTTCACAATTGCACCCCTCCCATCTTAGCGCTGGAACCGATGCACCTTGCTCCAGTGGTGTGGGTGAAGGCTCCCACAGCAGTGAAGTTGAAGAGTCTCGAGCGAGGAGTGGAGGGATTGGAGGAACAGACAATGAAGCAGTCTCAGATTGCTTTCATGTTATCTACAGAGGAAGGTTCCTTTACCGGTCTTCATTCCCATTTCCTATCTCTACAGCTTGATGAACGTCTGCAGTTCCTTTCTTGGCTGTTTGAAGGTGCTATGGCAAGTTGCACACTCAAGTTGAATGAGAGCGTGCAGTCAGTCGTTCACTCAGATTATCATGAGGAGATTGAGCAAACTCAGCGTGAGCATAGTAAGAGGAGGAAGGGCCATTGAGACAAGCCATGGTGATGATCCCCTGAGGATGATGCATGTCTTTTGAGCATGATAGAGGACCGCCAGCCCTGGCTGGAGATAGAGAGATGTTTCCAGAGAGGACAGAATCGGCCCTGCGCTAGCGGCAGTCGACACTTCGAAAATGAAGAAACAGGAGGAGGTTACATCCAGCTGAATCTGCCACCACCACACTGGCATTACCAGTTGTGATATAATATGTGTTGTACATAATATTGAAGCCAAGATAAAGGGGCCAGCATCCATCCTGTTTTCCATATGTGGCTTCTCTGACTAGCGAACGAAAACCCCCTGTCAAGTCAAACCCAAACTAACTGGCAACCCCCCGCAATTATAGGTGAACACAGTGACGAAGAGTGATGATGCAGATTTCTGTTTCTTTCATTTTAATCTCACCTATTTTATATAGTTCTTCAGCCAATCAACAAGCTTCAAGAAGATGTCAGATTTCATCTGTATCATATTTTTACTCTGAGAAACAGAATGCACAGCAATTTGAGTGACTAATTAATAGTGTTAACATAGCAGTATTCCTCTTAAATTATTCATTCTCATGTTCACCATCAGAGTTCTCCATGGCATCAATTATCATATCCCTGACAGTTTTCAACAAGAAGATATATATATATATACTCTGTATATGATGATGACAAGGAATCCGGCCCGCCCCACTTACCTGAGGTAAAACCGAGTCTGCAAAACACCTGGGTGCTGACAGGCAGTGGCAGCTTTACACAAGCTTACACCACGCTCACCTTGCCTATTTGAGTTACAACTATCCACTATTTGGTCTAATTACACTGTTGAACTCTAATCACAGGTAAGTGGAGGTTATAATGATGACAGACCGAACGCAAGGCCTTTTTCGGGTAGGTAATTTCAATACCGCGGGTAGGGTCTGTTAAGTGGACCTTTTTAACAGAGGTTAACAGAGGTTAACTGTGCAACCGAACACGCCCTAAAATTCTAATTTGCGGGCTATACCCTCATATTGGCGCTAGCCGAATAAGAAAAAAAAATCTACAGCAGCTGCTTTGTTAGAGCCATAGAAAGTAGAGGTTAAACTCTTCCACTGGATTTTGATTTAATTAAAAAGATGATTTCAATTCAAAAGATTACTTGCTGCAGGCCCCACACTGCCCTAGGATGAAGCGAGCAAACAAAAGTAAGATTTAAGTACACAATGAACTACATAGCAGTAATTAAGGGAAGTCAAAGGAGCATGACATCTGCATGTGTGTCAGAAAGAAAGGAAATGAAATATGCAGGCAAGTACAAGGAGTGAGATGATGTAAATATGTCCATGAAAAGAAATGAAGAACCCAGAACATCACCATCATTGATTGTACCCGCTGAAACGCCCAGCCGCTTACACAATGACATCTTGATCGTAGAACAAGTCGCAAGCATGGGGGTTCTGCAGGCAGTACTTGGGTTGCAGAGGAGAGGCCTGGATGTTATTGGCCAACAAGTACTCTCTGAAGTTGAGGATACGGCTTGTCATCTCGGTCGTGCGCTTCTTCCCCTCGCTGTTGCGGTTGCCGGACCAGACCAGCTCGCCCAGAGCAGCGGCACGAGGCCAGAACTTCGTCGAAATGACAGCGTCGTCAACCTGCTCAGACCACAGAGGTGCCGCAGCGCCAATGACGTGTTTCTTCTCAGCGTCGGTGAGGTTGTATGTGAAGTCGTAGTCATAGATACGCTGCCAGGTCTTATAAGGGGCGCACCAGGAGCCGCCAGGTCCAAGGTAGTTGTAGTTTGGCTTGGTTGGGTCTGGGTTGATCATGACGTTGTATCGGGGGTCATTGCCGACCCAGCCGCCGAAACCGCAGTCAAGGTAGAGGAAATCGGCGGAAGATACAATGACGTCGTAGCCTTGCGAGGTGAGTTTCTTGATGTTGTCAGGGCCCAGGTTCCAGGATTGCATGATCACGTCCTTGGGGACTTCGCGGGCATGCATTCCACCGAGAAGGACGTCTTCCCACATGATGAGACGACGAGATGGGCGGTCCTTGAAGATAGGATAGGCTTTATCAACCCAAACCTGAAGGAGGTCGTTGAAATCACGGTTGGGGTCCTCAGCAAACCAATCCCGGATAATACTGCTGAAGTTGAAGCAGTTGGGGTGCACTTCATCACCGCCAGTGTGGAAGAAATTGTCGGGGAAAAGTTGCTTGACTTCCTTGTAGACGTTCTCAACAACCTTGTAGGTTTCGGGGTAAATGATATCAAGTTGGCCTGGGTTGGGTTCGACCGCAGTGTGTAATGGCCAAACGTCATTGGACCACCAAGAATTGGCGCAAGCGATCAACTTGGGATCAATGTCTTCCCAGCCTTTTGCGGAATGGCCTGGCATATCAATTTCCGGGAGGACACGAATTCCACGTGCCTTGGCGTATTGGACAATATTGCGGATGTCCTGTGGCGTGTATATTTCGCGAGGGGAGTAGGCGCCCTTGATCATTTGTGGGTAGCGGTTAATCTGAACTGGCCAGGACTGAGAGTCAGTCAAGTGCCAATGGAGAACGTTGAGCTTCGCCAACGCCATTCCGTTGAGTTGTTCTTTGATTTTATGAAGGCTGATGAAGTTGCGGGCACTGTCAATCATGATACCACGATACGGGTACAGAGGCTTGTCCTTGATGGAGACTGGCTGCTCCACGATCAGCCGTTTGCCGTCAGCGATGACGATCTGCTGGAGTGTAGTAAAGGCATGCAAGGCACCGTAAATCGTATTCGCGGTGATTTCGATAGACTTGGCTCTTTCCTTGATATCCAGAGTGTAAGATTCATCGACGCCATGCTGTAACTCGGCCTTCTCGTTTTTGACTTTAACCATGACAACTCTAATACCCTTTTCTGGGTCATCATCATCATCATCCGAGTCACGTCGTGCCTTTGCGTTGGTCGGGAATGGGTCGAATATTGGAATTGGTTTTTCGACTGTGGCGGGGGTCCATCTGATGGTTTTGATGGTCTCTTTTGCGCGCTTGAAGGCATCCGTCACAATCTCGTTCCTGCTCCCTCTTATCTCAAATTTCTCGCTGATTTGGATCGGGCCGGAAGTTCCCCAGGTGATTTCAACGGGAGCTGGGAGTGGGTTGACTTTAACAGCTTCCACTGCAACACCTGCAAAGCATATCGCTGTGGCCGCAGCCTGTAGCAACCCCTGGAGGTGCATGTTCGGTGGGTTAAAAGAATGTCGGTCAGTTGAAGGAGAGACTGAGGGTCGGTTTCCCTTGCTGATGATTTTATTTTCCTCGTTGGGAGGGGGAAGCAGTGCACCTTATATAGCTGCTGGGGCTGATTGATCGACTTCTGGAGCTACTAGGCTACTTTATCAAGAACGTAAAAAAACAAAGGAATGAAAGAATCAAGTCCTTGGAAATCCACAGGCCTAGTCGCATTTTCCCATGCAACCCCAGCCATGAATAATACGAGTTAAGGTCCAGGACAGAGGCGTCCACGTCGAGAGGGCGTTCTGCAATGTCCTACGCAGTGTGACATTCGGCCTTGGGAAATGCATGGGAAGTCAGTACATGGACCCTTCTCCGCATGCGCCGATACCAAAGTCAATGAAAGCAAACCCCATATTGCTGTGGGCTCTTGGTGGGCATTGAAGGACTAGGCTGAATCGTTTGTTGGTTGGTTGGCTGCGAAGGGTCCCAAGGGACCACCTCGAGCATCTCTCAGTCTTCCAAGAGTTGACAGTCAGGTAGCTGTTGATGCAACATCGAGCATCTTTGAAGGTCACTGTAACTGTGGGGAGACCAAATTTATGGTGCTGATGGATGGGACCGCTAGCAGGGAAGCGCCAGCCATGATCGCTCGAAATTGAGCCCATCCCAGCAGAGACACGGCAAGGTTTGAGCGACGCCACAACACAGCTCAGACCAGACTCGACTCAACGGCCGTTGGAAACACCTCTTTCATTTCTCTGATTTTATGTGGCTGCATAGCGCTTCGTTGTTTCCAACCACCATCTGCTATCAACTCGTCCGTCCGTGTATGATGTATCTATCAACCTCTCTGATGATGTCGCCAATAATGACTAAGAGTGAAAATAAGAATCTGGTTACTCCCACGTGCTGTTCCCGTGTGGACCCACTCGCAACCACCGATTGCAATCATCGCGAGGTTTTTTTTTTTTTTTTTTTTTTCCTCGACATCCTCTCTCGCCCGCTTCTTCACACTGCTGTCACAGATACCTACAGGTCTCCAGTGGACACATGGCTTTCAACGGGATTTCCTCGAGCCCATAGCCTTAGTTGGGTTGGATTAATTCAACAAATCCAACTACATAATTTGGCGTTGGGTAAAAAGAATGCTTCTGCAGAATAAACGAGATCCGGGACGCTACGGCGTACTGGGTGGGCGTGGATTCTCGAAAGTTTGTTTGACTTGAATTAACTAACTAGTCCAGCCGGAGGGAAGAGCAGGATTTGTCTCATTATTCCCAAGCCATAATGATAACAGATATGGGGCAGCATTGTGTGGTTCGTATTCCTCCTGGTTTTGTAAAGCGAAATTGCAGACCAAGAATGGTTCTGGGCTTCCATCTTGCGGCCGCAGACAGGTTATCTCAATATCCTGTGGCTTCAGTTCTGTGACATTTACTGACATTGCAAGACGCCTGACACTTGTGGTTGTTGCGCTTGTTATTGATACTTCTCCTCAAGCAGGCGCGGTATTGGTTGATCGACTCCGCAGAGAATGCACGGGAGGCCGATTCCGTTGCAAGAGACTCTGAAGGAAGTCTAAACGACGTGATCTGTGGGGCGGTGTCGGCGGGTAGTTAACTAACTAACCCAGCTGCCTAATTAGTAATAGGGCGAAGAAACTCCAGAGATGAATATGGGGTCATGGGGAGTAATATGGAGAGGAAAAGAACGCTGCGGGAAGAAGATATGCCCGGTTGAGGGGGAAAAGAGATAATCAATAATAACAAGAGAATAATCGCGGTGCTCTCTGGAGCAGTAGCGGATTGTTGCTATCCTCATAGCTCCTGAGGAATAATCCGAAGGTCTCTTCACCTAGCTCAGGGGCTAAAAGTCAGTCATGCTAGCTCGTTCCTCACGAACTACCCCGCGGACTAAACGCACTAAAATGGTATTCTTCAGCGAATTGAGTAAGAAGACGCTCCAGGATCTGTGGGACACGCGCCTCTCCGCATGCTCTGCGGCTCACCCGCTTTACCACTGACCATGTTGATGGTATCATCGTCTCGTCGCATCGACCGACCTTCCAATGGAACAACACTATCAGCGCTGTTCGAAATCCACCCCGGGCGGATTTCTCTGATGATGTCGTTGACTTACACCTCCACCGAGTATCACACCACAAAAGGACAAATTCATTCTTTCTGCTCTCTGAGCAGCAACCCTGAGGATTTGTCAATGAGCCGTCTAAGGATAGGAACTTGGCGAGCAATTAAGCGCCTGGCGAGGAACGAACACTGGTTCCCGGTTTGGATAAAATGAGAACAGGACCTGGACTCCCGCCCCAATTGCCAGGTTCCTGCATCAGAAACCTTCCGGTGTGGATACGATGCGCAGGAAAAGCCCCCGTCTCATCAAACATCCCCACACCAACTTGTCAGCATCCGAAGATCGGCACATTGTTCTGTATCTTGCCGGATGAACTTCCCCGAGCTATAAAACTATACCTACTGGGTAGTCTTGTTTTTTCAATGGGAACCTGGCACGCCACATCTAGACCAGATCAAGGTAACGGGCATCAACGTCCGTTCAAACAACGACAAATAATTATGTCCAGGCTTGGCTCAATCTTATCCAAGCAGCCGCCTGTCAACAAAATTAATAGCACAGCTTGGCTCTAAAGGTGAAAAACAAAGATCCTTTTGTTTTTGGGAACACAAGCATGTAACTAACTCCTTTTGCAGACAAGAAATCGGAAATGGTCTGCTTGGAAACACATATTACCGCTCTATTCATTAAGCGAACTAGTTATGGCGTGACTTCCTCCAAGCTCTTGGAAGGAGAAACCCCACATCCTCAACTCCACACACCAGTGAGTGGCCCAGATTACTCGATGTCGAAGTGACCCGAACAGACACCTACAGCAGATAAAACCTTGATATGATGGAGAGGAAACACCGAGTAGCCCGCCACATCACGCAATATGGAGGCCTGCCTCGGCATATCCAGATGCAGGACAACATCGGGGCTCCACATACTCAACGTTTCATGGCATGAAGGATGCGTGCAGGCGTTGATGAGGATGAATAATGAAAAGGATGAAGCAAGCAAGCCTCATTATTCCAGATACAATCTTAGCGGCCGCCTAGAACGTTTTGAAAATGACAGGCTGAGTGGGGCCCTACTGTTGCATGTGCATTATTCACCGGTGCATAATAGTGCATTAGCATTTGTATTGAAGAATACATCATCATTATTAAATTATTGTCCTGAGTGGAATAAGCCATAATTAATAATAATAATGTATGTATGTACTCTGTACATGTACATCGAGATGAACGCACCCCTGGAGCCTAGAGCTTGGATTCTGGGACGGGACGTGCCTTGGTTCCTGTACTGTACTACTGACTAGAGCTCGCATTTCGCAGGGCCCACCAGGGCCTATTAGAATAAAATCTCTTTTCTTTCTGCTCAAGGAAGTGCTTCCTTCCAAAGCATGATGAATAATATAATGCGCCAATTGCCATCAAACAACTCATGTCAGAATACGAGAACTTCCCCCTCCAGTGAAAACTATAATTTCTTTCTCGGTGAGGTGTAACAGTTCTTATGATTGCGGGTATAGTGTAGGTAACATAATTTTGTTTCATTGAGGAGAGGACTGCTCTACATTTTTCTTGTCAATATTCTTTTTCACAACTCAGGGCATCCCGGATACCCCATCTAAATGGCGGCCATCATTTCTTCCAGAGAAAAACATAGGAACGACAAAAATCTCCAATATGAGAAGAGATCGAAGAGGGCGACGGGTAAGACCTAATCTTGCGCGCCACAATCAAATTCTAAAACTTGCAGTTCTTAAACAAGTAACCAGGACAAAGAAAATAAAGCAAGAAGAAACTCACAAAACAATATTGTAGAAGTCAATGAAACATATCCAGCACAGAAACTGGCAAACCTGACAACATTCCAAGGGGGAAGGAAGAGCCAGATATGTCGAAATGAAGGGACAGAGACAAGGGGAATGAATGGTCATAACTAAAGCGCACATATGGCATGAATCGAGAAGAAGACGCCACATGCCACAGCGCTCAATTTGAGCTCAACAAAGCAACCATAATAATGGTGTGAAAGAAGGAACAAACAAGCCGGGTAGGATGAAAAAAAATCACCTCGGATACACGGGCTAAAATTCCTCCGTTGCAGAACGCAGGGGTTGAATTTGGAGACGTGGTTTGCCCGGTCCCGCCATAAATACAGCAGGGGCGGAGGTCACCTCGTGAGTCTTGAGGATGGGAGGTGTAAGAGGCATGAGAAGGGGGGGGGGCCTGATAAGTTTGGGGTACATTGCGCCCAAACCCCTTATTGTGTTTATCCGCCGCGATGCATCCATGGATGCGTTCTGACGCTCCCGTGTCGTTTTGTTCCCAGCTCGGCCTGCTGGTTGGAAGGGGTACGTGCGACCTTTCTTGGAAATACCGTTGTTCGCTCTACGCCTTGCTAATTGTAGTTGTGGTTGTGGCATAGGAGGAGTACTCGCTTTCATGGGGCCAATTCTGCCATTACTTCTATGGATTTTGGCGGTTGTGCTCATGTTGTCTGATGTCTTCTGTCGGGACTTAGACCTTGTCTTCCGAATTTTCTGAAAGGCGGAGGCAGCTTTATGCTTACTTTTCGCCAGCCTTGCGGTACATGCGGTGACCTCCCGAAGACGAACAACGTGGGTTTCCTTTTCCGCGGCACAATTGCGCCCATGAATCTCGACACGACTATACATATCCCGTCGACTCTCGATTGTAAAATTATCCAAAATTCTAGCTAATAGCTTGCCATCTCTTGACCAGCTGGCACCATTCAACAAAGAGGTCACGGAGCGTGTTGTGTACCTCGAAGAAGGAGCGGTAGGCGGAGAAATAGGCATGGCGATGGCGGGCCAGTTCTTGGAATACGACCATATCGGCTGGAACCAATTCTGCCTTCATTTGATATTTTGAGTTGCGATAGTTCGTTATAGTCGATGGAGGGGTTAGGTTCCCCAGATTCAGGGTTGGGTGGATTGCCGAAAAGGACGGCGCTTTTGGAACCAGCGACCTCGACGTAATTGCAAATGGAGAGGACGATGACTGTGTCCTGTGATATTGCTTCCTCAAAAGGGCTGGTGATGGGAATCCCACACTCTCGCGATTCATTTTCCCTTGTGGTCGCCTCTTTGTGTTCGCCCTCTGCTATGTCGGTCGGACTAGGCCTCTCTATTCCAAGTGGTTGGACGGAAATAGGGAACGAATTCTTTTAATCTGATAGCTCAGTACTCCCGCTAATGAATAGAGAGAATGGAAACAAGGTATAAACATTATGGAGGTAAAGTCTGTAAGTATAACTAGTATTATATAAGATTAGAGAAATGAAGTTGCTTCAATATGCATGTATATATGTGTGTGTGCGTGTGTGCGTATGCGGCGGGGGTATCCAGGCAATGCGAGGAATGATGCGATGTGATGCTGAGGAGTGAATATACAAACGTGTCCGTGGGCTATGTAGAAAAGAAAAACAAAGGAGCTTGGGAAAGACAATGTAAGAATCAACAGACAGCCTTTGCTATGTAAGAGAAAAAAGTGATTAGTTCTAATGGTTCCCCTTCGCAAGGATAAAACAACCCAGCTCCCTGAATCCCGAGAATAGATACAGGGTCTATATCATGATTGCAACACTGAGAAATCGACAGTCCTTATCGCTAAAAATGAAAATGAAGAAATTTCCCCGCTTTCAAAGAAGCATTAACTAGAGCTTGTCCAGAAGAAGGATGAAACCCATCAACATTATTAGCATCGGCTGGATGAGCTGTGGCTTGCGGAAGACATATTTTCCATATTTCGATGGATAGAGAGCAGACCCAATGACTAGCTCTTCCTACTGCAGTCCAATTAATAAAGACCATTGGTATAATAACGTTAGAGAAATTATACCAAACCTGGCTTGAACATAAGTGTTCGTTGTTGAAGGACGAAGTTGTCACTTATGCTTGATGCTTCATGCCTCATTCGAACGAGGTAGATCGATATCAACAACCCAGGGGGCATGTACTGGGTCATATTGAACAGTGACGATGCTGGCGTTGACAAACAATGTCTCCTCTCCAACCTTCAACGGCTTCTCACCACCATCACGGCTGACATTAATGTAGGAAGCTCGATCCTTGAGCACGGTCGTTTGATCCAGCTTTATATTCGTTACTTTCTCCCCCGCCCATTCCATCCGCTGGGCACCATATCCTTCATGAATGTGGCCAAAACAGTGTAGTCGAGGCTTAGCTCGGGTAACCGCCCGTCGAAGGTGGTCGCAACCGACTGGTTCACAGCTGATGGTCTCGTCCATGACCCCTCGTGGTGGGCCGTGAGTTAACATAACATCCACAGCAGGGAAATCGGGTACTGGGTTTTGCGCAACGAATTGCGCGCCTTCTTGGGCGTGGTTGAATCGGTCTTGGTGGCGCTTGTATGCGAAAGCCCATCGACAGAATTCTGGCTGGTAGGGAGAGGCATAGACAGTGAATCTGGCGCCATTTTTCAGCGTGAACGTTCTCAACTCCTCATCCATGTAGACGATGCCATGTTTCCGGGCCTCCTCCCCACAGTACATCTCCCTGATCTTAACCAGGTCTTCCCTTGCTCTATGTCGACGATACCCGAAGCTATTATAGTAGTCCTCATCAAGCGTGATGTCATGGTTCCCCGCAATGACAATCTTTAGCTCTGCATCCGCGTTCTTGAGCATGCCAATTGTCGCCTGATGCTCACTCTCCTTTCCGACCATGGTGAGGTCGCCGGCGTGTAGGAGAACATCTGAGGTGGGGAAAGGCAATCGGAATGGAGACCAATTGTCTGGCGGCAACGGCGTGTATGTATGGGTATCGGAAATGATGCAGAAGCGGGTTTTCACCTGGCTTGGGGGACTGTTCGCCTCCATGCTTCTGTGTTCCGACTCCGTACGACGATTGTTGAACGGTCGTTGGGGCTTAGACTCGGGATGGGATGGCGCCGGGAATAAAAAGGACGTTGTTGTTGCGGGTGATAAAACTAACTGCCTAGGATGGTTAGCTGGCGAAATGCCTGCGCAAGCTTAGGTGATCAAAATTTCAATTGGCCACTCAAAAAGAAAAACCAGGGCCATTTCGCCAGCCAGGGAGTGGACACATCCGTGCCGTTTTGGTTCAATATGTGGAGGGGAATTATTGATTCCTGGCGGAGATATTTACGAGATACACATTGTAATGGAAAGGTCACTTTTATTTCTGAACGTAGGGACGGGTTTCGAGACAGTTAAAGTGAAAAGGAATAGAAAAATACACCCAATGAGATATTCCACGTAAACAAAAATGAAGTAAAAAAGAAAGTTCCATTCCGATAGGTAAAAAAAGTTCAGAGCTCTACAGACATCCCATCCTAGCAGGCGCTGTATTAAGTATCACATAATTTTATTTCGAAAATTTGCTGAACTCCAACCGAACCCATCAATCATCACAGCAACACAACCCTGCCTCCCACGCCCGCTCTACTTCCTGATCGCACGCTGGTAGAACGCCAACTCCTCTCCTTCCAGGATATATCCATCAACACGCCCACTCTGGCCAGGCCGCGAGGAAACGACAGCGTACAGCCGACCGGCCTCGAACTGTTTTTCGAGGGCCGCCTCAACCTTTCCTTGAGCGGCGAACCGTGCCGCTTGCTTCTTTTCTACACTCTTGCTCTTCTTCTCCTCCGTAACCTCAACACCGGACTTTTGTTGGCGTCTTCGGCCGAGGGGTTGGCCGTAATGGGCCTCATACCATTGTCTGAAGGGGGCAGCGTCGACTTGGACAACGGCGGACTTGGTGAGGGTATTTGTGCGGACGAGTTCGTTGTTGGAGGGATGGTATGCGACGACAATCACACGGACCTTGCGGGCAATGCCCTCAGAGCCCCACGAGAAGTTGCCAGACTCGAGACGGAGACCACGGAACTTCTGGTTGCCGCCACGGGTACGGACGAGATGGATTCTCTTAGGTCCAATACGAGTGTTCGCGGGTTGGCGACCCTTTTCGAAAGCTCTGTAAAAATTGGGAAAAAACGAATAGTGAGAAGTCTGCGCTAAATGAAAATATCTCTCTCCGCATCCCTCCTAAAATAAAGGAACGATATTGGCACAGTATAATCGCCATACCTCTTCTTGCGGAACTGAGCTTTTTTCGCACCGGTGGCCGAACGCTTGTGGCGGGAATCTCGTGAGATACCCATGATTGCGGTTGATGGACGGGACTACTGGAAAGGAAGAAGCCCAAAGGTCAGTATTTCAATCGATCCAAGTGATAGTAAAGACCGTAGGTTTCCCGCGATGAATTTTCCAATGGTGTGGTCTTTTGCTGGATATTGTCATCGCACACAATCACTGTCCAGGGAGGAGCGGGGATGCCCTTATTCTCCACAGTAAAAAACACCACAGAACCTCGAATTCGCGTCTCAAACACACAGAACTAGGAACAAAAACAGAGAGGAGGAAAATTCTCACCTCGTATCGTGGAGTCCTTCACCAGAATATCGCAGGGTGGTCGGCGGTGGTGAGTTTGGCGTGAGGTTGAAGCTTGTCGTCGTCAGGAATGCTGAATTTCGCACAGTGAGCTCGCTTGTTGAAAATGCCATGCCCTAAGAAGCGGCGCTAGGCCAAATCGGGACTGGTGTCCCCAACTTCCACACCCAGTTTGATAACTCGCCAGGAAAAAGTTTGTACGAGGGAGAACGAGCAGATATGGCTAATGGCCTTATACGCGGGAAACGGGGCGTTTATTTTCTACGAGTGTTCTAGATGTCAAGCAGCATGGCGTCTAACTGCAGTATTGGGCGGCGATGCTTGCTTTGTCGACGCGATTGTGTCTTGGCGATATTTCTTACCGTTGGAGATCAACAACAGGATCATTGAATGAAACGTTAACCTTTGAGCCTCGGAGATTCCAGATGTTGGAATTTGAGGAATTTGAGTCACTCCATCCTCAGGTTTGCTATGCCGTCCGCATTTAAGGAAACCAGAAGTAGACTCAAGAATTCTACTTCCACGCGTTCACAATTTGTCTGCATGCCCTTCCTCTCTCCTTTCTTTGAAAAGACTTTGGAAAGACATAACCACAAACTGTGGGCTTACGACGTGGAAGTAAGGCCTAGAACAAAACATGTGAATTTCCCTTAGCCTCACAGGAATGGATGCTTCAATACACGCCAAACCTTAGGCTCCACCGTTCTCACAGACTGTTTGTTAAATCCCTTCGAAGGATGTCTTAGGTAACCTTGGAATTCATTATGATCGGAGAAAGCGAAACATGAAAGACTATAGATATGTGACAATGCAACACGTTGAAGTCGAACGACAAAAGGGAAGGGGAAAAGAAAACAGGTACATATCCAAATTCAAAATAAAAACAACAAAGCTAAAGAAAAACTCGCCTTCCCTGATCCAAGTTGATATCCGTTCAATCAACACAGCGGTTGTATCACTTGAAGTTCCCGATGTTACCATTGAAAGCCGCATTTCGTGCTAGAAAGAATCGACCGGACCATTACGCCACGTACGACACACAATTTGTACTTCGAAACGGGTACTCGAAAGGGAAAATGAAGGTGGGACGTCTTATTTTCTATGCACTGCCAATTTAAGACCTTCACGATTAATGTCACGCTCAGCAAGTCTTCCATTAAAGGATATGCAGGGATTTAACTCGCGGAGTGGAGAGGGGGGCGGAACCAAAAACGGACGAGGCGAAGGAGAACGAGCACCAAGATCCTGATGGCCCAATGCCAACGGAATGGGAACTCCTCAAGCAAGAAGATCAACAATCTAAAGAGGTTAAGAGGGCTTTACTTACAGAAGAGCGAGTGTCAGATCGCCATGGATACTGGCTTTCAATTCTACCTCTATATCTAGATTAAGCTCCAGCTTCAATTTCAGACCATCCTGTTCATCTTCCTGATGCTTCTCGGCAGTGTTGAGCTTCTGATTCGGATTTCCGTCCCGCATGGGGATCTCGCCTCGCTGCGCACGAGCATAGGTTACTGGCCCATCCATTGACGTTTCTGGTGGTCCGATGCGCTCCAATGGTTGCATTGCTTTATCCTCTGATTGGGCTGATGCAGTTTTCATGGGCCGTTGACGCCGGTCATTTTGTCGTTCCTTTTGTAGTGATTGTCGTGGTAGAAGCCGCTGTGCGGTTCTCCGTTGGGGCTGGCGCTTTATTGGGGTATCGTCATAATCTTCTTCCATAGTCATCTCCGGAGAAGTAGTCCAAGTCTTCGTCATCGCTGTATTGCGGAGTTGGTTGTTGTTGTTGCAGTCTATCATTCTTTCGGGTGGTGGTTGGATTCATGACGAGGTGGGTGGGAGAAGATTTGTGATTTTCCTTTTGATGACCCTGACGTATAAGAGATAAGGAGAAGATTAGGGAGGGCGCAAGGAACAAAGGAATTGTTATATATATGTATGTTAGGTATGAATGAATATTCAAAGAAGCAGAAAAAATCCAAGGACTATTCCATAAAATTGGAAACCGAGCATCTGTAATATCAATCTACCTTGAAGCCTCTTCCCTGCCTCCGTCGGGCAAGGTTCGATATCAGCGATGACGTTGATAGTTGCATGGCATAGGTTGTGGTGTCACGTGTGGGTGGGACCTAAGGTTTCTTAGTTGGCCATGTCAAACCGACGTCTGGCATAAATGGATTTTGAGGTATAATATAGCTTTTATTATCTCATAAGGCCCGCTCAAGAAGATTCAAGAGGGCTTGACAATGGCCACGATAATTTATATCATCTTAAGCTCACTGCCAAAAGACCTTGAAATCGCTAGTTGGCGCTAGGTCTGTTCCTTACTGTTGAATTTTTCATTGAATCCGCTATTAAATTCTCTATTAAATCTGATATTGAGTTTTTCATTAATTCTACTGTTGAATCTTTTATTAAATTTATTATTGAATTTTTCATCAAATCTGCTGTTAAATTTTTAATTAATTTTACTGTTAAATTTTTTATTGATTTTATTATTGAATTTTTTATTGAATATAGTATTAAATTCTCTATTAAATCACTGTTGAATTTTTCATTAATTTCACAGTTAAATTTCTCATTGATTTTACTGTTAAATTTTTTATTAAATTTAGTGTTAAATCTTTCATCAAATCTGTTATTAATTTTTTTATTAATTTTATTAAAATGTTTTTATAGTATACAAGCTTTGATATGTTAATTATTATAAAGCTAGTCTGTATTAAAAAACAGTAATTCTACAGATAAACTGTAATATAGTAGAATTAAATATTTTCATTATTATTATTATTTTTCTATGTAAATTATCAATTTAATTACTCTGTAATAACTAATTTTTTTTAAAAAAACAATACTTATATAACTCAGTCTGCAGCTATTTAATTATCTTTAATAAATTTAACAGTTATTTTTAAGAAATCTTAAATATAGTTTAATTTTCTCTGAAAGAAGATATTATTATAGTATAGATATTTAATTTCAATTTCTTTAATATTAAGTAACTTAATTCTATTGTCTCTGATTTAATATTTAATAAGATGAGCTGAGGCTGTAATAGTAGTAGCAGGTTATTTATAGAGAGAGAAGTTCTATTTAATAACTGTAGTAAGTTTCTTTTTCTTCTTCTTTTTTTTCTTCTTTTTCTTGAAATTAATAATTCAGTTGTCTAGTTATATATCAGCTTATTATTAATTTATGCTTGAATTCATAGTATAGACTTACTTAAATAATAGAAGTAATAGCTTTTTATACTATTATAATAACAGCTGATACATATATTTTAATAATAATCTTGAAAATTAATATAACTTATAAATAAGTCTTCACTTTAAATATAGTAATTATTAGATTTTTTTACAATTATCTTTTATAAATGCAGTAATGCAGTTTTTTAATTAATAAAATAGCTTAAATTAAAAGTTTTACGCTTTTATATATTCACTGTATAAATGTGAGATAGTGTAAGAAAAACAACAGTTCTTGCTAATAATTTATCTGTCAGAGTTTCAATCAGAATTATTCAGTTTCTAGAAAATAACTCAGTAACTAGACTGACTGTGTGACCGTGTCTGAGACCAGAATCAAACTTTACAGTTATCATGTTGTCTAAAAGCATTACTTCTGATCATGATTTGTGTTCATCACATTGATCTCAAATCCTGTTATTTCAAATATTAAAGATCTCAGATTCACTTTTCAAATAAAAATCTAGTCTCAGATAAAGAATATATTTAAATTCTTAGTCACATTTTCATTCTGATCTCATTATTGAAAATAATATTAAATAAGACTATGAAATTATTTCTCACTTACATAATATCATAACATAGTGCTCATTTGTTGAAAATTCAACAGAGAGTGTTATCAAATATTATTACTTTTCTAAACACAGATTATAATTAATAATATCATTTTAATTAAAAAAAAATGTAAAATACAAAAAATAACAAAAAAACAAAAAACAAAACAAGAAAAAATCACAACAAAAAAAAAAAAAAAAGAGAAAGAAAAAAAGAAGAGAAAGAAAAAAAGAGATAGAAAGAGAAAGAAAAATAAAAAAAAAAAGAAAAGAAAAAGAAAAAAATAAAAAATAAAATCAAAAAAAAATCAAGATTACAGAGTCACAGTATTCTCAAAATACTTACTTCTCAGAGTCTTCACAATATTCATCACTAATTATATATTTCTCATAGTGAGAGTAACACAGCTGTGATTAGACTGATCACTGAGATTATGAATTTCACATTTGATCTCATTTGATCTGGTCTCATACATTTCTTGGCGTGAATCCCGCTGGGACTGGCTATCAAAAAAACAGGTAAAGTGACTATATATCAGATCTTAAAATGAAACCATGACTTGAAAAAAATGAGAAAGTGGTCTCATTTGATCCCATTTAGTTCTATTCTTAGCATAAAGTTACTATTTTTAGACATTTTAAGGTTTTTTTAGACTATTTTTAATTTTTTAAAAAGTAATGCTTTTTGATAACACTCAAATGAGATTTAAAGTCATTTAAAGCAATAAAAATAATTTAAATTGAGAAGTGGAAATCATGGTCTCATTTGAAAAATGTGACAAGAGTAGACAGTAAGTCTCACTGAGACAGTATAAGACTACTATCTAATGTTAAAACCGTGTAATGAGATCAGTCAAATTGATAATGAGACTATTAAAAAATCTGGTCCTGGTCTCAGACACGGTCACACGGTCAGTCTAGCTGTGATGAGTCATTGTCTTAATATTATCTAATAAATAATCAGTATATATCTATATAAATGTGAATAATTAGAAAATATACACTTAAAAAGTGTGATCAGAGTGAACTCTGCTGTCACTTGAATAACATTAAGAATAGAAGACTGAAATTAATGATTCTTCTCATTGATTTCACAGACAAGATATGTGAAGATAATCTTGAGAAATATAAGATTCTCTGACTTCTGATAGAAATGAATCTCACAGAGAGACTCTATTTTCATCATATCAGAGACTGAGTGTTATTAAAAAGTATTACTTCAATGCATATATACTTACTGTGATAATTCATTCTCTGCACATGTGACTGAGAATTGCAGCTTTCTCACACTGCACAGCTCTCTCTGAGATGCTGCTATCAGTTTGTAACTCACACAGTCTTTCAGTTCAGCACACACTGTATATATACAGCTCTGCATACTGGGGCTGTGTTGATTATTATAGCCTGATGTGATACTTACTTTTCACAGGTCATGTTTCATTTGATTGAGAGGAAGAGAAATGTGACTGCTGTTTTATTTAAGAGAGAATGAATAATTGAATCTGTAGAAGATAATTTGATTTCTTCTGTATTTGAAATTTGATTAGTCTATACTCTTCAATTTGAGAGTTTCTGAGAGTGTTTTAATAGTTTTCATATCAGCTTGAAATTAGTGATTGATTGAAGAAGAGAAAAGAGAGAAGAAAGAAATGAGAATAACTTATCTTTATAATATGAAAACAGAGAATTGCTGTAATCATTTATTCTAGTAACAAAGATCTGTTTTCTGTATGTATTTCTGATACAGATTATATGATAACTGTATACAAAGAATATTAACAGTGTATGCATTGAATGAAGATAATGTTGTTATACAACACTGTAGCTGTTTCTGTACATTGCTGAAAGCTGTTAATATTTTCTTTAAGTCTCTTTATATTTAGTAAGTCAGTAATATATTTCAATACACTTCTTCTTTTATCATCATCATCATCATCATCATCATTATTATCATCACTATTATTATCATTATTATTATTATCATTATCACTATTATCATTATTATTATCATTATTATTATCATATCATTTCTAGTCATCTCTTCTATCTTCACTTCTCTTCAATACTCATTGAAATCAATCATGTCATTCTTCTTCAAATATTCTGCGGTCTTGCAGATCATCAAGGCGCGTGAGCACTGTCACAGATTGAAGAGAGAGAAGAAGAAGATATTCAAGTAAGAGAAGACAGATTGTAAGACATGTTATAATGCCTTAAAGAGGCTTTGTAAGAAAGCAGAATAATAACAATTTTAAGTAATACTTCTGATAGATTTAGACTGAACTAAGTATAGAAATAATACAGATAATACTGTCTGTAAGAGATTGAAGAAGAAGACAGTGAAGAGTCTTATACAGTAGTAATAAGATTAGAAGAAGTTCTGAGAATAATTTGAGATCAAGATGAAGAGAGAGAGAGAGAAGAAGAGTGTTACTATAAATAAGCAGTGATAGAAGAAGATTAAGAGAGTGTTAAAGTGAGAGATAAAGAAGTCAAAACTGATAAGTTTTTTATTTATTAAGAGATAATGATTTTTAATAACACTTCTGTTCTCTAATTAATTAGCAGAAGCTGATAGAGAAGAAGAGAATTGAGGTCTTCTTCAGATCTTGAATGCACTTCATGATTCAGAACATTGAGAAGACAGCTCTGCTCTCTGAGTATATCAATCTGCTTACTGCTGAGATGAAACCTGAGACAGCAGACCAGAAAATGCAGGATTTTGAGATGCAGGTTGATCTGACTGAGAGGAAGCAGTGAGAACTCTTCTCTGAGAAGGTAGTGAAGAGAGATTTTAAGATGATTATCATCTCAGATGAGAAGAAGAAGAAGAAGAAGAAGAATAAGAAGTGAATTATAAAGAATAATAAGAAGAATAAGAAAGAGAAGAAAGATGATGAGTAGAAAAAGTTTTTTTCTTTTTATATTAGTTAGTTATAAGTTCATAATTATTAATAAT